TATATTCCAAAGATATATAATGACTAATAACAAATCCAAAAATAGGTTTTTTAGCGGAGTAAATAAATGATCTTTAATATTTTCTTAAAAGAAAAATAGTATAATTTAAAAAAAAAATACATAATTTCAAGGGATGTACTTGGCTAATTCTACTTACTCAATCTTAATATATGTGTTTAGTAATGATAAGAAAAGTTAATAAGATAAAACGATAAATTAATATTATGAATTTTCGAAACTTCTTTAAATATATCTTCTAAGGATCATCCTATATATCGTGTAAAGTTAAGTAATTACGGAGTATTAATCAAGATGGATTAATGTGGAAAAATCAATAGACCCAAATCTTGAGAAAAAAAAAAGTTTATTTTTATTGACACCGAAAGACTAGTTTATTTATTTCTTACCTCGACGTACATTGCGAATTAATTCCCATGCATAGACTTATGATAACATGTTTTACTCGCAGACGGACGGAGGCAAGAGGATATAGTTGGGACGGCCAATTTTAAAACTTAAAATTTATTGAATAAATAGATTAGCTATATTTTATATAAGATATTTATAATATTATATTTTAAAATGATTTACTGATATAGAATAATAAAAAATTTACATAAATGATAATGTTCAATTTCACATATCACACTAATAATCATCACAGATTTATAATAAAAATTGTATATTCATTAATCATAAGTTTTACAAGAGGTCCTATGAATTATGTTATAAAAGCCATTAAACAAAAATGAATTATGTAATCAATCATCATGTTATCTTTACAACAATAGAACGTAAACAATAAGATATTTTTTTAATTGTTAGAAAGTAAGAAAAAAAAACAATGTTTATTGCAATAGATATATTATATAAGTAGTTTGAGAAAAAGACCAGCGAAAAGTCGCATAGGAAATGGTTTTTAATGTGCTTATATATTAGAGTAAAATTAGTAATAGTGTGAGAATTGGATCATTATCTCAATCAAATCAAAGTTGTTATCAAACTTTAGTAGTTAATATTGGTTTGTTCTTGGAGCCTAGGGCCTACTTACGTGTGACCTCCTTAAAAGTTGTGATTTTTGGTGAAAGGATGGATCGATATAGTGGCATTAAAATTGTTATTATTAGAGGAATGGGGGAGGAGATTGAGAATAGAAGAATTACAGTATCAGATTCAATCATCGTTAAAGGGTGAGAAAGATGTATAAGACATTTAATTGGTAAAATAAACTTTAAAGAAATGAGTGAAAGAGAGAAGACAGAAAAATGGAGAAAGAAAAAAAGATAAGGATGTGATTTTACTTTAAAGTATTGTCATTTGATAATCTAAAACTTTTAAATAGAGAAGTTTTGTTTAGGGTAAAAGGGATCTACAAGTAAATTTATCTCTTAAAAAATAAAGATCATAAACTAGTTTCATGTCTTATTTTAAATGATAGAAAGATAATGTGTGTCTTGTTAACTATGGAAGTTGTCTTTAAATACTATCGATGAAAAGTATCTTTCTCTTTATTGTTTGTCAAATCAAAAGTGATGAGGGTTATAAATCATTGTTTCTCCTAACAATTTTTGTACGCGAGCCTTTAATTACTACTAAAAGACACTGAATTAGCGATAAAATTTTGTGAAAGAAAAATATTTTTCTCTTTCTAATTTTGGTGTCGCAAAATTCTAGTGAAATACTTTTAAAATATTATATATAAAATTTTTTCTCTAATTTTAATTTTTATAATAGTGAATTTTGTATACACAACATGTTTAATACTTTTAAAACCACATAATAAAATCACTTTGAATTAAATATTAGGAGATAATGAGACTTAGTCTTTATTAATTAATATCTCTTACTCTAGATCTCTATTTAATAGAGCTAATACACATTTCACTTGATAATAAAAATAAATAAAAGAAGGTGTATGAAGTGATATATATTATGTTAAGACTCCTCTTTAAGGTTATTCATCACTCCAAAATCTTACTATATATCTATTTTTTTATATAAGCTATCTTTTATTATAAAAAAATAATCAGAGGTGGTTTAACCCATTGAGCAATTTTATGAGGCCAATTTAAATAGATAATAAAAACAAGATACAAGATTAGACATTAGAAGAAAAATATTAAATATTATTCATCTTACCTTATATGTTTGTAATACGACTTCTCTCAATTCCGAAACATCAATGAAGTTAAAAGGAACACCTTCAAATACAATTTGGTTATGCTCAATTCAATTAGATCAAATCACAACGTTCCAAACAAGATAATAAATAAGACACATTCTTGTCATTCTAAAAAGAGAATTAACTAAATTGTATATAGAATATAAGATAAAATATTATTATGCAAGACCCCAAAATACCCAAGTCATGCATATACACATGCATACCAAATTAGGATTGTCACGAATAAGATAGGAAAAGTGATTATTATCCTCCTAAATTGGAGCACAATTTACAAGATGTGTCTTACACATGAGTTGTAATCTTTCCTACTGAAAATGATAATGTTCAATATATAAATTATATATAATTGAAAATAATAATAAATAAATATTTTTATATTATGATAGAAATTTGTTTTTAATTGTTTATAATTTTAAAAAAATTAATTTAGAAATAAAAAAAATGATTCATTAATAATAAAATACAGATATTATAAGAAAATTCATAAAAATGTTATTCTTAAATAAAAAATAACAAGTTAAATATTGGTCCCTAAAATATACTCATTAAAGATAAGTAATCCAATTTATATGAATAAAGGATTATTGAAGCATCAAAATGATTGTAAAAGTATACTAGGTATAAAATTAATTTTAAAATCTTTTATTTTTTTAATTTTTAAAATCAATTTCGACTTTAACCAGTTATATAACTAATTATTTGAAAATTATAGTCAACTTTATCAAATCAAAATTGTTATGTGTAATCGATTTGATTCGGAAATACTAGCTACACATTTATAAATAGTTATCAAATAGTTATAATTAAATTATTTAAGTAACATAATGAATTGATGGACAGGTGTATGTACATGTATTTGATGATTATAATCAAAATGACTACCATATACTCATATAGTCAAACTTTGATTACGGGTTCGGCTCCCTGTAATGAACCAAAAAGCAACCGTGACAGTGTGAAACCAAAAGCATTTCGGAATCAAAGGTTGAGTCAAATATTGAAACTATAGCTACATACCCATACTTTTTAATTTGGAGTCGTTTTTACATACATATAAGACTATAAGAGCATCTATTATTTATTTATATTATTGAGTCGTTCGTTATTAAATTATTAACACGTCATTTCTCACGAGAAATGACATAATTGTGAAAGGATGACATAATAAATTATAAATCTACTTTTTGAAATCTTAAATTTAATTTAAACGTCTCAAAATCCTTAAAAACACAAGAATAAATAAAAGGTTGAATAGGCATGAGCGGCAACTTGCAATTCATCATGATAATGTGTTGATCTTGTGTTCCCTTTTTGCAAGTATTGATGAAATGGTATACTTTTGCATCCCGATAGATTAATTTACTGCTGCTTTTTAAGTGTAGGGCCTGTACTTGCGTGCTGATAAATGCAAGCTAGAAAACAAAATCAACTGATAAAACGCATACTCTTGGAAGAAAAAACTGAACAAAATTAGACTCACTCTACGTTTTTTTATCGGTAAAAAAAATGCAACAACAATGAATATAAAACTTAAATTCTTATGTATTTATTCCTACTTCCATCACTAATCCAACTTTAATAGTTAACCATTTCAAAATTTATTAAGTTCACTGTATGTATGTCTATATATATAAAAACATAACCAATAAAAAGAAGTTACATAAAAAAATTACAATAATGAAAACTATGCATGTGAATCGAATGTATGTTCTCATTCATTCACCATTAGATTGATTCTAATAACATTTCAAAATTTGTTAGGATCATTGAGTGTATGTGTATTTATATAGACACACAACCAATATATTAATAAAAACATGAATTGAATTATAAACATGTCTTCTTTTTTTTTTGTTGGGGGGCGGGGGTTATGGAACTTTGAGATTTTAACATAATTAAATACAATATGTGTTGTTTCCATTTTCCTTTTCAATGCTGATTTTCCATCTCATCAACATTTTCTGTGTTTACTTAGAATTTTATGCAGTCTAGAGTTTTCCCTCAAAGTTTAGTTTAGAACGTACATTGTATTTTTCACATTATGCCCATATCCCTGTTCGTATTGAAAATTTCAGAACAGCATCCTTGTATTCGATTAAAGTAGTTTCTTTTGCATATCGTCTCTCTTTTTTATGTGTTCTTTTGCATAAATTCTTAATTTATAGGAAACATCAAGAGGAATATAAGTTGTTGCGGCACTGCCTCAGCATTAATAAAATATATAATCCAATTAAAAAGTGCCCGAAAAGCTTCATCATATTATCTTGTGTGTTTGTGTGTATCGATATAAATTGCTTCATCATATTCCAAGACATTAACCTCTCTCTAATCGGTTAAAGAAATTAAAAGAAAAAAAATACATAGTTTGTCGTACAGTCTAGTAATTAATTGTTAGCTAGTATAAAAAAAAACTGAAAAAACTAGGTTACAGTCTGGATAGGTTTCACGTTCTCTATAAATTTTTTTATAGTACTAATTAACAACATATAACTCTTTTTTACTGAGATAATTCCTATAAAAATAAAATAGTAATTTTGATCATGATTTTATGTTGATGTTAGCATCTCAAATCAAATATTAATATTGATCTTTAATTAAAGAAAAATGTGTTAATCACCTTGGTTATTTTATAACATGTTTACAAGACCTATAAAATCGGAATGATAATGTTAAGAAACATGATAGGGCAGAGGAGAAGCAACGTAAATTAATTGGTGGCATAACAATATCCGAAAAATAGAATAAAATAAAACAGGCAATTCCAAAGGGTGAAGCGAGTGGACCCCACAAATGGGGCATAAATATTGAACCTTGGTCACAGCTTTGCGAAGTGTGAGCTATCCTGAGACTGAGTCTGCCCATACAATAACCTCATAGTGTCGACATGGTGTGCGAGGAAGAGATGTTGATTGAGAAAGTGTGCGAGCTGTATGAACAAATCTCGAGTCTCGAGAGTTTGAAACCTTCCAAAAATGTCGACATGCTTTTCACCCAACTAGTCCTCACATGCATACCCCCTAGCCCAATCGATGTGACTAAACTCGACAAAACCGTTCAGGAGATTAGATCACACCTTATAAGGCTATGTGGTGAAGCTGAAGGACATTTAGAGACCCATTACTCAACCATCCTAGGCTCATACGACAACCCCCTTGACCACCTTAATATTTTCCCTTACTATTCTAACTACCTCAAACTTGGTCTTCTTGAGTTCACTATCCTAAGCCAACACTGCACCCATGTCCCTACAAAAATCGCCTTCGTGGGTTCAGGACCTCTTCCTCTTACCTCAATTGTCTTGGCCTCAAACCACTTACCCTCCACCACTTTCCACAACTATGACATGGACCCTTTGGCCAATTCCAACGCCACTCGCTTGGTTTCCTCGGATCCTGACTTGTCCAAGCGCATGGTTTTTCACACCACCGACATATTAGATGTGTCGAACGGTTTGAAGGAGTACGAGGTTGTTTATTTGGCGGCTTTGGTGGGCATGGACAAGGAGGGGAAGAACCGAATCATTGATCACTTGGCAAAGAACATGGCTCCAGGGGCACTTCTTATGCTTAGGAGTGCTCATGGGGCAAGGGCTTTTCTCTACCCTGTGGTTGAGCCTTGTGATCTTCGAGGCTTTGAGGTTCTCTCTGTGTTCCACCCCACCGATGAGGTCATCAATTCGGTTGTCATAGCACGTAAATATCCTCAACCTGTGCCTATGCACTCGCTTGATCAGCAAGGCCTTGCTTCTATGATTCTACCCAACAAGTGTTCCGAGATTCAAGCCTTCAACCCCCTCAACCATGGGAATATCATCGAGGAATTGGCCATTGAGGAGCAACTCTTGTGAATTTATTGCTTTTATCCGCTCCGTGTCATGGAGGTTAATGGTTAATTAATTATTGGATCATGTGGTACCAAACCTAGTTGCTTCATATTTCCACCTATATGTCCCACTGTTTTGTATCTCATCGAGCAAAACTTAAGTGTTTTACATAATCTTGTTCTTGGATTTGCAATAAGTATAAAAGAGATTACGTGTTTTATTAGATCGTATCTCCCTCAAACAAACCATGGCGACATGAATGCTATAGCATACCGTGTTTACTTAAGCTTTCCTGTACTTCTTTTTGCTCATCTTAATTTGTTGTTCTAATTAAGCAAGCTGCTACATGTCCAACTGCATTAACTAAAAGAATTGATGGTCATGAAATTGCAACGAGAGCAGCTTAGTTAATGTTGGTTTTGTTGACTTAATGTTGAATCTTTAAATGTGATTGAAATTATTAAATGATAATACAGAAAGAATAATAACTGAAAGTTAGTTAGTAAGAGTAATTTCCTTTTCAGATTTAGTTTGTTGTAAAAAGAGAGTTTCTGGTATATATATATCATTAGTTTTTCTGATATACTGAAAATGTATATAAAGGCTACTTTGGTGATGAATAAAGTAGGTTTTCTGATCCAATTATGATAATAGAAAAGAAATGTACTTTTAAATTAATCTGAATCATATTAAAAGGATAGTCATGGACTTGCAATAAGGACAGCTCAGTCGTAGTTTGGTTTAAAGTTTAGTAGAATTAACTTTAAATCATTAAATGTGATTGAAATGTATATGTAAATTAATTTGAATCACATATTTATACAAGAACATGTGTTTTTCAATTGAAAGTGATTTTTTTAAGACCACATATATTCTCTTGTAAGAAATAATCAAGCTCCGGTTAAACAGCTACATATTAAAGATTTTAAGATTTAAAGACGTTATTGGTTAAATTGGAATAATATGTATGCGCTCATTGGTTGAAAAATAGTATTATAACTTTAAATCAAACAAACACCTGATTATACAAGATTCCTAACTAATTTTTCATATTCTGAATAAAATATCACAAAACTGCCCAGGCTGCGCTTTTACTATTCATTACATCCACTAAATCGCAATCACTCAAAAAGAGACAGTCCTCTAATTTCCCTCTTTGATATTAGTTGATATTGCCTATCAAATCAAAGATTACTTTGCTTTTAAAGGATGCCAACTTATCTGCCTTTGTTCCTCTACTTGATCAATCACTGTTTGTCTTTAATTGGTGTAATACTTGTATATATTGATGAAGACATTTTGGGATACCACTTTGACCTCAGAAAAGCTGAAGAGAGGAAACGATAAGCATATATATCTTCACATCACTGTACCTGATCATTAATTACGGAGGCTGGAGGCATAAATTCTACAATTAAGATGGAAATTAATTCAATGAGGGTTGAATTCATAACATATAGGTTACTCAATTCATTTAAGGACGTACGTGGATTCTCTCGTACGATACTTTTGTCTGGTAAAATATTACCCCTTAATTAAAAAAATAAAAAGAGCGAAAATAATAATAATAATAATAATAATAAAAGATATAATGTTCTGATGGTGAAATTTTTTGCTAGAGAATCTAAATGAAAATTTCACGTGAAATAATTCATTCCTTTCATTCACATTTATTCTGATACTTATGATCAATGTTAATTAAAAGGAAAATTGACGAAGAATAAAAAGATATGCACATAATTGGAAGGACCGGTTTTTTGTTGGGTTCTAATCATGTAGGCCTTTGAGTTTATCAGAAGACAACTATGAAAGTTATTCTTTTGTAACTAGCTCCTTTTTATGTGTTTGGTCTATTAATTAGAAGAATTAGAATATGCGACCCTTAAGTCCTATGGTCGTTTACTTGCTCATATGGGCATACTTCAAAAGTGAATCTTGATGATCTTTTCTTAGTTGGCCCCTTTTTAACAAAAAAATCAAGCCATATGATGCCAATGTTTTATATGTCAATGCTTAAAAGAACACATGTATATGTGAAAAACTTCACATATAAGCTTTTAAGTTATTGTTAGTGTTGCATTATTTCACATATAGTCGACTTTGACATGTGACAAGGTTGTGTCAATATGAAATATTTTCAAAACACCAACAGTTTGTATAGTTCCACTTAAATTAAAAGAGTTATTTTGTTTTATTTAAATTCCTTCAATTTGAAGATTTTTGTTTTTCTTTTTTTCATTCCAATCAAAGAGCCGTGTATTTCACTCTAATATATATATATATATATATACAATATTTTACGCAAATTATTTATAAATGTGTGAATCAAATAATATGTTTTTCCATAAGTAGACAAAAATTGAAAATGATGTGTATTCAGGAAAGAAATAAATTGACTCTTACAAGATACGGATGGAATTAATGATATGACAAATCATTGAATAGACACCATTTAAAATAAAATAAACTCTTCATTTAATATTATATATATATAAAGCACGATAATTTATTAGAAAAACTCAGATTACCACAATAATATATAAGCAAAAAAAAAACAAGACTTCTACCACAAGCAGTCCTCAAAAAACCAAAATTCATTCCAACCATATAAGCTGTATTACAAACAACAACAAAGTTGCAAAGTCTCATCATCCATGTAATATAGTAATTAAACTGATATGATTTATCATGTAATGCATCAATTCTTCATATACAAAACTAACTCATAAACATTCATAAATTTATTTATCTTTACCTCTAATGCATAAGATATTTTTTTTTGGGGAAAGCAAAAGAAATGTATTAAAAATAGGAGTATAACTGGTACTCAAGTCAAGAAATAAAAGCAAAATTAATATCCTATAAACATTATTATGGTATATGATGTCTTGAATTTTGAGAGTACTAATCATATTCAAAGTCTTCACTGTATCTCGAAAGAAATTTGTCAACAACACATATTGCACTCAAGTTATGATATATACCAATGGAGATTAATCAAGTCTAGCTAAAAGTGTTTATCTGCACTTTAAAAACAGTATATAGACTCTTTTTTTTTTCTTATTTCATCTTTTTCCTTTTATGAAAATTATTCCAACTAACAAATTATACTACAAATTCCTAAAATATTTTGTTATGGGTCACATTACACATCTTACTAGATTCAAGAAAGACCGAAAATTATCTCTTATATATCAAAGATACATGTAGTTTCGTGTGTGTATATATATATATATATTCTTAATCATGAATTTATTAAAGAGAGAGAGAAAATAATAATAATAATAATAATAATTATTATTATTATTATTATTATTATTATAATAAATGAAATAAAGGTAATAAATAAAAAAATTAAATTAATGAAGAAAAAAAATGAATAACTTAAATATAACCGCTAAGATCAATCTAATAACGAAAGGTTGAAATAATATGTGAAAGATTCTATATTTGAATCTTGTTGATATTTTTGTAAAAAAAGTTATACATTAATTAATTTTATTAATATATAACCTTGAATTATAGATAAAGAAAACAAAAAGATCAATAGTGTAGAAGTGCAGATTAATTAAATCTCTAAAAATTATGTACAAAGAAAAAATGGATCTTAATTGTTATATGTCTATTTTCTTACGTGTATATATAAAGAGAGGATAATTTCCATCTACGCTCCTATTATAAAATTATCAATCACTTGGTTTCAAGACTAAAACACTTTTACATCTATTTTTTTTAATACTGTAAAAGAGAAATATATGTGGAAATTAAGTATGAAAATTATATTATTATTTCTTTTATTTATGGAGCAAAAAAAAAACAAAGAACAAGGTATGTACATCTAGTTAAATGTCACTTGAAAATTTGAGTAATAAAAAAATGAAGTGAGGCAACAATATTTGAAAAGACAAAAATTTTGGATACAATTAAGATAGCTATAATTATAATGGAAAAATTGATAAATTAGTTAAAATACGAAAAAATAATAATTAGAAGTTGATAGTTAACGATTGAAGGTTTTGAATTATAACTGATTAACAAAAAAAAAAAGTTATTGAATTAATTGGTAAATGTAAAATAACATAAAAATAAGTTTATATGATTTTTTTAATATAAAATTTATTTTTATTTTGTAAAGACATGAAATATTTTTAGACAAGTATAATATTATAGTGTTTTTAATTATTGGTAACTCTTTTTTATATATATATAATTTACAATATTATTAAAATTAATATAAATAGTATAATAATTCAAATGTCATGTATAATACATAAAGAAAGTCATTAAAAAATTAAGATTTTAAAATAATAAACTATAAGCTCACATGTTACTTCAAAGATGAACAACAATTAAAAACACTTTTTCTACTATTAATCAAAATTTATAGAAATCATAAATTTTGATAAATCTTATTAATAAATTAGAAAAGACATTTGTTAAATGAAATCAATTCAGAACGCACAAAATTTATGATTTCAAATAAAATTCAATCAATAACTATAATAAATAAGTTAAAACTACAATGAGTGAGTTTCAACAATATTAGTATATAGGTTAGCTAGTAGAAAATGATAACCTAGAATGTTAAATAATAATAATAAAAAAAAAGGTTTGTAACTAACATACATAAAACAACATAAAAGGGATGTTGAATCACTTGGTCATATATAACTTAAAATTTGATGAATATAAATTTCTTGATAAATATAACTATCTTTATTTGAGATTTATGCTTTTTTGTAATAATTAAGAGAATTTAACAACTGAAAAAAAAATCCAGATGCAGTTGTGGCAGAAACATCCTGTTTGTTGATTTGGTTGTCCGACTTGTATGGTGAAAAAAAGATTGGGCTTGGGCCTTATTTGTTTTTAAAAATTTTAAAAGCCTATAAAATAGGGCTTTTTTTTATTATTTAATAAAACGTGAACGGCAGGATTCGAACCTGCGCGGGCAGAGCCCACATGATTTCTAGTCATGCCCGATAACCACTCCGGCACGTCCACATTTTGAAATAAAGGTATTTCTTTTGGGCTTCATCTTTTCTTCCATACTTTCTCGCCATTTTTGTATTTTTTTTTTTGACAAAAATATTATTTTCAAATACTAAGCAATAAAAGCATTTTTAAAATGCTGTAAAAAAACAATTTTAAAGGAATTTGTAGATATCTCGACCTAAGATATTTTTAGTAATTTGTGGGTCTTCATGAAATGAATTAAGGCATTTAAATATTTAATACATTCCTAAAATAGAGCCATACCCAGGAAGAGAATTTTAATTTTAATTTAAATCCTAAAATATATGTAAAAATAAAAAGGGTTAGAGGAAAAATAATTATTTTTAAAACTAAGAAGATGAAAAAAAAAAAGTGTGATGAAAAAAATGGGGATACAAATTGAACGGGGCAAGTCACCAGGTTTTAACTATTGAGCGAGCTTAAGTCCCAGTTCCAACACTGCAACTCACAGGATAATTGCTAGGTTCTTTTCGCTTCATTTCTTTGGCAGGTACATCAATAAAAATTATAAAAATGCATGGAGCAGAATAATTTAATGAACCTGCTGCACAATAAACACAGGATATCTGAACACTACTAAATTTAATTCTGAATGTATTGTATTAAAACAAAAACTAATATACATATACACCCAAAAACGGATGACAAGCCTATTAATTTTTCATATTGCTTACTATGAAATACTTCGGATCTCTTGTTATATATAGTATAAATTATCGGTTCCATCTAGGTATAGGCGCTATTCATGTCAAATTGTAAAATTTAAGACAAGAGCCTACCCAACTTTAATCAAGAGTAGTAGCATTGCTGTAATATATGTAACATCATTCATACCAATAATTAATAATCACTCTTAGCTCAGTACTTTTTTGCGATATACTACAATGAAAGAGCAGCTTTCAAGAGGAAGATCCTTCTTTCTTTGGCATGACATTGTTGTAAAATAATCCAAGATTCAGGAATACTGACACTGAACAACATCAATGACGCACTACACTACCATAGCTACAACTTTAATAAATATATTAGCCGAAGGTATTTGTCAAAGAGTAATGCGGAAGCCAAAATTTAGTATATCATGTTGACGATGGAATGTATACATTAATCGTGCAGAGGGTACAAGTTGAGATATAACTAAAGTAACACAGGTCCTCCTATGCTGCCACTAACGGCAAATCGCATATCCTCAGTTGGTTTCCAATGGAATTTGTAGATATCTCGACCTAAGATATTTTTAGTAATTTGTGGGTCTTCATGAAATGAATTAAGGCATTTAAATATTTAATACATTCCTAAAATAGAGCCATACCCAGGAAGAGAATTTTAATTTTAATTTAAATCCTAAAATATATGTAAAAATAAAAAGGGTTAGAGGAAAAATAATTATTTTTAAAACTAAGAAGATGAAAAAAAAAAAGTGTGATGAAAAAAATGGGGATACAAATTGAACGGGGCAAGTCACCAGGTTTTAACTATTGAGCGAGCTTAAGTCCCAGTTCCAACACTGCAACTCACAGGATAATTGCTAGGTTCTTTTCGCTTCATTTCTTTGGCAGGTACATCAATAAAAATTATAAAAATGCATGGAGCAGAATAATTTAATGAACCTGCTGCACAATAAACACAGGATATCTGAACACTACTAAATTTAATTCTGAATGTATTGTATTAAAACAAAAACTAATATACATATACACCCAAAAACGGATGACAAGCCTATTAATTTTTCATATTGCTTACTATGAAATACTTCGGATCTCTTGTTATATATAGTATAAATTATCGGTTCCATCTAGGTATAGGCGCTATTCATGTCAAATTGTAAAATTTAAGACAAGAGCCTACCCAACTTTAATCAAGAGTAGTAGCATTGCTGTAATATATGTAACATCATTCATACCAATAATTAATAATCACTCTTAGCTCAGTACTTTTTTGCGATATACTACAATGAAAGAGCAGCTTTCAAGAGGAAGATCCTTCTTTCTTTGGCATGACATTGTTGTAAAATAATCCAAGATTCAGGAATACTGACACTGAACAACATCAATGACGCACTACACTACCATAGCTACAACTTTAATAAATATATTAGCCGAAGGTATTTGTCAAAGAGTAATGCGGAAGCCAAAATTTAGTATATCATGTTGACGATGGAATGTATACATTAATCGTGCAGAGGGTACAAGTTGAGATATAACTAAAGTAACACAGGTCCTCCTATGCTGCCACTAACGGCAAATCGCATATCCTCAGTTGGTTTCCAATGCCTTTTCCTCTGATTGATGAACCAATTATTGATCTGCTTTTGATCCAATCCAGTCATTTCTGATAACTTTACTTTCTCCTCCTCCTGTATGCATATATCATTGATTTTCAGTTTCAAGGCATTCACATATATAGAGTTACATTAATGTACTTTATGATGCATGTTAATTGAAATTACCGTAGGATATGGCCATCTATGATGTGTGTTCCACCAGTCCATCAATGCTATCCTTGCATCCTTTGGTAGCTTACCCTTTTTTCTTTGTTTTAGAAATTCCTTTCTCAAACCACTAAAATGGCCACTATATTTGCGAAGGAGCATCTCTTTAATCTTTTGATCACCTGGACAACTTACAGAAGAAGATACACGATGACCTTCAACTGCTTCAATCTCCCCACAACTTAATTCTTCATCTGATGCTCCACTTGCTACCTCATCTGACCAAAAAGCAAAACACAAGAACTCTTGGTATATATGCCAAAATGGACACTAACACAACATTAGATATTCATTGATTGACAAATACACATTCAAGAACTTCAGTATATGTATGTCGAGAAGCATGTATTCTACTTTCTTATTTATGAAAATCAAACTCCATACAAAGAGACTTAAAACATTCACACAATATCTTCAACCAACTTAATTGGACTCCTTAATGTCATGTATGCTCCAAGATTATTTAATTATTATGGAGCTTAATTAATTGGACGAGAATTTCATACATATACAGATAAATGTCACTCCCTCGAGTAGAGGGATGTAAATCGTGATAAGTGAATACGTGTAGTTCAGAAGAGAACACATTGCTAGGCAAGGTTTGAGGTGCTCCTAACTTATATAAAAGTAAAATAACCTAATTTCACACGTATAAAAAAAATTAGTTAAATACATTCAATTTTCACGATTTCATATTTAATATATATTACATTTCTTAAAATATCTTTGAACACATATTTATTTTAGATAATATTCTCATTTATCAAATTTATGGATTAAAAATTTTAAATAAGATTTATTTTGTTAAAATTTACTTATATTTTAATTTAAAAATTTAAATATTTCTTTGTTTATATATATATATATACCCATGTATAAAAGTTTAGCGGTAGTAGTTGATCGTATACAAACCCTATTATTTTTACATGCTAAACTCAGGCTTTAACAATTTTTCTTCTTTTTTCTCCTTTTTATCACTTCTTCATGATATCATGACACTGGACTAATAAAATGGTTCTTAATATATGTTTTCAACTATTTTAGGCTCTCTATATGTTTTCTTGGGACTGACTCTCCTTCCTAGTATACAACTCGACTCAGCTACCCTAAAAATAGTTCATAGAAAGCAAAATGCGCGACTTGCACTTCACGGATACCTATACTACTATACATATGTATATATAGTAAGATAAAAATACTTTCTTTTCACACCCAATTTATTATATAATACCCTTGGATCCGGTCTTTTATTAGAACTAATTAGGGGGAAAAAAAGAAGGAGAAGTTTCACTAATTAGAACTAAAAGCAATGTTATGTTAAATTCGGATATAAATACCACAGCTTTTCTTTTATGTTTTTGGCATATATCAATCCTTCGATTATATAGGTAACAAAAGTTTTCCTAGGATTTATTTCTTATTTAGTACACTCTTAAACTAAAAAAAAAGTTGTTATATAATATCACACATACAATACTTACTACTAAAAATTATTTTTATCTATATACAAATATATATATATATAGAGGAGGGTTCAAACGACACCGGTGTAACTTTTACTAAGTGTTACACCGCTTAATAACTTTATATTAAATATGAATTTTGAAAATCCAACCGTTAGATTAAAAGTTCATATCTCTTAGATCATGTATGTCAAATTTTGTTAAAATTGAACAACAACTTGAAGGTAATCAAAGTGTTCATATTTTAGTATATTTTGAAATGTATATATTACGTCAATTTTATTTTATGAGAATGAAGCATCAAATCATCTTAGATTAATATAAAATTTGACATATATGATCTAAGAGATATGAACTTTCAAT